TGAGAATGTAGAGCCTCAATTTCCTCCTTCATATCATTCATCCACACAACATATTTCATAGCAGTCTTATAGGTGGCTGGCTTAGTAAGAGACATGTTAACTTCACCAGATGTCTCTAAAGTACTCAAGAAGGCCTTGTGTTTGATAATACCACTTTTACTTCGAGTTTGCATAGGATGCATGTTTAATGGTTCAATAGGTAATACCACTTGTAAACGATCGGGACTAAATTCAGGATCCATAGAAAGTTGAATGGGATCATGTACTGTTGCGGTAATGGACTGAGAAGTAGGATATGGTAAGGGTGAAAGTGAGACATCAGATGTTGAAACAACAAGAGTTGAGACATTAGGTGATGGAGGGTTAAACAAAGTTGGAGTTGGGATATCAAAAGTATGAGAATAAGAGGGATAATGAGACATAGGTACGACTAGTATATTATTAGCATTTGGAACTGGTGTAAGACAATGAGATGATGGTGATAAATTTGATGGTGACGGTAAGATAGATGGGTGACTAGATTGTGTTGTTAGTTTAAGTAAGTTGAGATAAGGAAACTTAGTTTCATCGAAAACAACATGCCTAGAGACAAAGAATTTTCCTTTCTATACTTCATAGCATATGTAACCCTTATATTTAGATGCATATCCGAGAATAACACACTTGTTTGTTCTAGCTTGAAGTTTGGTAGAGTTATAGGGTCGAAGTAAAGGATAACAGGAACATCCAAACACCTTAAGGTGACCAATAAGTGGTTGACTTCCATAGAGGACTTGAAATGGTGATTGGTTTTGTAATACTGGGGTAGGCATCCTATTAATCAAGTAGATGGTTGTTTGACAAGCAAAGGTCCAAAACTGAGAAGAAAGGTTAGCATACTATAACAATGTGACAGTAGTTTCAATAATATGTCCATATTTCCTCTCAGCCAACCCATTTTGTTCAGGTGTATAGGGACAAGATTTATGATGCACAATTCCTTTGGATTTAAGAAATGTATAAAGCATATAACTAATGTGTTCACCTCCCCCACCATTCTGCAAGGTTTTGACAGAAGTTGAAAACTGAGTGGAAACAAATGCACAGAAAGTGACAAACACATCATAAAAGTGTGACTTGTGAGATAAGGGAAATAGCCAACAAAACCGAGTGCATTCATCAATAAGGGTAACGTAGTATTTATAACCATCAATCGATGTACATGGTGTAGGACCCTAAAGGTCATTGTGGACAATTTCAAATGGTATGGCAAAGTTAGTATGAGAAGAAAGAAATGGTAACTTTGTAAACTTGCCCTCTAGACAACTTCAACACATAACAGAAGTTGTGCCTTTATTACAAGTAATATTCACTTGTTTAAGTAGCAATGACATTATATTATTTGAGGGATGTCCTAACCTATTATGCCATAGGCTAGAACCAACAAGTTAACCAAGATAAACAGCTGATGAAGACTAAGAAGACTGGGGTATGTGAGTTCGAGTGGAGAGTGAGTGAATAGGATAAAGTCCATTACTGCATAGCCTTTTGTATAGAATTCTCCCCGTGGCCTTGTCCTGAATCCAAAAACAAAATGCATAAAAAATGAGCCAACAATTGTTATCCAAACAAATCCTATAAACTGATAGTAAATTTTATGTCAGTTTAGGAAGATAGATGATGGAATTTAATTTGATAGGATGAAGATGAGTTGTAAGTATAGAACTGCCAACGTGAGAGACTTGCAAACCTTCACCATTAGTAGCTTGAACAACTTCACTGTTTGGATAAGGGGAAGCCAAGGACGGGTTTTGAAGATCAGCTGTCATGTGATTAGTGGCTCCTGAATCTGTCAGCCATACTTGTGGTGACTGAAAGGTAGAAGCTGCAGATCCCAACGATGAGTGTTGAGAAGATGAATGGAATACAGTGCTCAGTGTTTGCATTGAAGGTGACTAAGAATGAGACATCACATGAGGACCATGATAAGAGTAGTCATGCATTCAAGCACCTACCCTTGAAGCAAATTGAGGTTCCATATAAGAAGGCCATTTCTCATTGTAAAAGTAATACCAGGTAGTATGATTGAATTTAGCACAGATTTGACACTGTTGTCGATCAGAAGATTTGTTGAAGCAATATGGTGCAGTGTGTCCATTTGCATTACATAATTGGCATGTCTGCAATGGAGGTCCAGAAGGGCTCCCAAACTGATTTGGAGAAGGGCCAAGGAAATGCGGAGTAAGTGTGGGTAATACATGTGTTTGTGTAGGGTACATTGGCTGAGGATTATGGTATCTTTGTGCCGCATGAAATTTATTTTTGCCCTTGTTCTTGTTGGTAAAAGATATTATCCCTCCATAGAACTGACCCCCATTATTATGATATGATTGACCACCACCAGAAAGGTTAGACCCTTTAGACATGGCTAGAGATGAATTGGCAATCATGGCAGAAAGAAATGGACCATTGTTGTGACTGTCTACAATTGCCTTTTTAGCAAGTAACTGAGACCTAAATTCTTTCATGGTCATGACATTTTCTTGACCTCTCACAACAATACAAAATGTATTATACTCTGGAGGCAAACCATTGAGAGCCAAGATAATAATGTCTTCATCATTAAGAAACACACCAACAGCTGACAGATAGTCACGAGCTTCTTTAATTTTCTGCAAATACTGTGTCACAGAATCTGACCCTTTCTTGATTGTTTGGAAATTAGACTTCATCTGAAAGATACTAGTCTTTGACACAGTAGAGAATTGTTCCTTAAGTCTAGTCCATAATTCCCTAGAACTAGAGCTGCCAATAGCACATGACACAGAAATCGGAGATAATGTGGCAATAATGAGCTTCATTAGTGCACGATCATGCAATTTCCAAACAACACATGCATTGGAGTCTATGACGGATGATGAATTGCTAGAATTGAGACCAGATTCACCAGAATTCGACTCAATTCGTGCAGGATAAGGGATTGAACCATCAACAAATCCCATGATACCATTACTTTCCAGCAATAATTGCATTTGAAAATGCCAATTGAGATAATTCAAATCATCAAGTTCCACATTAACAGACATAGAAATCGTAGAAAGCAGTTATGGGTGATTCAGTGAGCTGAAGTTGAGAAACAGTTACCATTTTTGCATAAATCAAACTATGAACCGCAAGTAGTGGAGAATCTTGGAAGAAAAACATTCGCTCGAAACCCTAGAAAACTTGAAGAAAAAGCACCAAGAAGATGAAGAAATCTTGAAAGCCAATGCGATCGAAGTTGAGTTAAGGCGATCGTCGATCACCAGAAGGCGATCGGAGAAGACGAAGTTGAAGAAGAAGACAACAAGAGGAAACCGAGTCACAGATCGAGAAATGCAGCGACAATCATGGTGATTGATACCATGTTAATTAAGAAGAATGATATGCTTGAATGCAGAAATTCTAAAGAGAGAAAGAGATGATTCGAGAGAAGTTAAGAGAGAGATAGAGAAACTGTATCTTGTTATTTATTTTCTTAGCATCTAAGCTACTACATCATAAGGGTATATATACAAGAATCTTCACACCTCCACATCTCAACTATCATAACTAACTTTTCTAATCTCATTACAAGTGTCACAATCCTATCCATCAATTTACTTCATGTATTATCTCTATCAACGAAGATGGTGTCGTCAGCACAAATCAAAATATAAAGGTTTTGTGGGGTAAAATCATTGATAAGTTTCATGAAAACTCCAATGCCGGTCGAAGGGAAGTTGGTGGTGTTTATGATCGGTGGAAGATTATCAACAAAGCGTGCACTTTGTGGAATGGAAGCTTGGAGAGAGCCACGGTTGACATGCCTAGTGGAAGGGGCGCCTCAGAAATTGTAAGTTTCTTTGTTGATATTTTAGTTGTCATGTACATAATAGTATTTTGCAACTAATTGTTTTTATGTATTTGTTGCATAGGGTGACAAAGCAATGGCAATTTACAAGACAAGAACTACACCAAAAAATCAAGCTTTTAAGTTGCATCATGCTTGGAACATCCTCAAGGATTGTCCGAGGTGAGGAACCGATGCGAACCAACAATGTGGAAGATTATTTCATAGTGAAGCCCCACCCCCAAATGATGTCAATGAAGGTGTGAATTTTGCCGATAATGAAGGTGTCGAACAAATGACCCCAACTTCTTCTTTTGCAAGGACTCGGGGTAGAGATAAGCAAAAGGAATCAAAGAGAAAAGGGAATTCCCAAGATCCGATACGTGCACAATTTGCTAGCGAAATGGTAAGAATGAATGAAAATCATATCTCTCGGTAAGAAGATTCGGCCCAAATGCATTTGGCCATGAAGGAACAAGGGGATAGGGAGCAAGAAAGGTTCGAAATTAATTTGATGATGGAGGACCTCGACAAATACACTCCATAAAGGAAGAAATACTTACGTGGTAAGCAAAATGACATTTTACAAAGGAATTCCATAAGAAGTATATTTCAAGATGATGATTCATCTCAAGACTATCACCCAAGTCCATCACCAAGTCAAGATGGTGGATATCATTATTAAGTTTATGAGTTTTCGATTGTATTAAGTTTATGTGGTTTATTATTTGTCTTTTTTTTTTAAGTTTATGTGGTTTATTAATTGTCATTTGTATTAAGTTTATGTGGTTTATTAAATGTCGTTTGTATTAAGTTTATGTGGTTTATCATGATTTTCATGTATTGATTTAGAGATTTTTCTAAATTTATCAAAATTTAAATATTTTTAGGTTAAAATGTTCATATAATTAATTTAGGATAGTCTACATAATTTTTTTTTAAAGTTAATTTTTTTTAAAAATAGCCTTAATTCATTCTTTGATAATTTCGGGCTAAAATTTTAGGCCAAAAGGGTTGGAGCAGAAAATTTATTTATGGGCTAAAACCTAAATTTTATGGGCTAAATATTTTTAGGTTTTAGATCACCATTGGAGATGGTCTTAGAGTCCTACAGTCCGTCCAATAACCAAAAAGCCCTCGAAAGAAAACAATGGCAGGCGCCGGAGGAGAGCCCAACGGGTTCAAGCATTTCGACGTCGTCTCAAAAAGCGACGGCGGAGTTTGCTTCGGTAACAAGGTCCACCATAAAATAATGCAGGAGTGGAAGATTCTCGAGAAGCACCTCCCGAACTCCATCTACGTGCACATCTACGAAACCCACATCGACCTCCTCCGGGCCATTATCATCGACGCCGCTGGCATTCCCTACCACGACGCGCTTTTCTTATTCGACATCGCATTCCATTCAAATTACCCGACCCGCCTTCCACAGGTTTATTACCACTCTTTCAGAAACAGAGTCAACCCGAATCTCTATGATTGCGGGTTCGTCTGCCTAAGCATGCTCAACACCTAGCACAACAAGAAATGAGATAAGTGGGATCCGTCTCAGTCAACAATCATCCAGGTCATGGTCTCGATCTAGGGTCTCGTGCTCAATGAGCGGCCCTATTTCAACGAACCCGGCATGGGCACGGGCCCCGGCACCCACATTCGCTAGGCAAAGGTGGCGCAGAAGTACGACGAAGACAAGTTCGTGTTGACTCACAAAACAACGCACTAGCTACTACAGAGGCCGCCCAAAAATTTCGAGGCATTAGTCGACGAGCACCTTCGGCAGAGAGAGAGTGTGATACTGAGAGCGTGCGTCGCATACGTGAGCGTGAGCGTGCGCGTGGCAGTGGGTTATTACAATGAGGGTCATGCGAACGGTGCTGGTTCGGCGAGGAAGGTTAGGAAGAAATTCAGGAAGTCAGTGAAGTTGTTGTACCCACAATTGTTTGAGGGTTTTCGAAGCAACGGGGCTTGTTTGGAGGGCTTGGCCGAGAACTTGAAGGTCAAGGTGCCCAAAACACTACCGTCCGTGCAGAAGGATAGGAACGAGAGTGGCATTGTCGGGTGGGTTTTTGAGAAATTGAAAAATATTTTAAGATGTGGATCATAGAATAAGAAGAAAGTGACGAGCAAGAAGAAGGCTGGGAGTAGCTTTAAACGCCATGCTGAAGTGGCTGCTAGTGTGGATTGAGTAGGGTAGATTCGATATTTTTGTTTGTTTCTAGGGGTATTTTAGGTATATAAAAACTAATGGGAATTTATTAGGATTGGTTTATGCTTCTTTAATTTGGTTATTTGGTTTATTAGGGTTTATTTTGGGTACATCACGTGTACTATACAAATAATGAGATATGTGTACTAAAAAGTTAATAACTTAAAAAATAAAAATTTCCACCATTCCTCTTAAAACACGTGGTGTACCACTTGTGTTCCCGTCACAATTAAAAATTTCTCAATTTCTCGTGGGAGGGATGGTTGCCGAACGCTACAAGAGGATCTTATGATTTAAGACTTTATTAACTCTAAAGTTCAATTAAAGTCATACAACGTCTTGGATATACGAAGTTAATTTATATTTAATATACCATATGATGTGATAGTTGATAATAATTTAAATTATTATAAACGGTATGCAATTATCTATCATCACGTCTTTAGTCTACAAAATATAATCCAAAGACATAATCTCGAAAACCAACTTATTTGAACAAAATCTTTAAGCTATCTAATGTGGCAACTGATATATACATGCCAAAAGATCAACTCTTGTATTTTTATTCTTTTAATAATTTGTTGACCCTAAAAACTACCAAACCTACGTGGTGCATAGGCCGAGTAACTAATGAGCTAACTACGTCATTCGGTTGTATGCGGTGCGTGCCAACTCGTCGGCCGAGCTCGGCCGATGAGTAAAATTTGTTAATGTTACTTTGGATGCGCTACTGACTTTTGAATCTCGCGACTGCAGCCGAGGAAGGAACACGTCTCGGCCTTCAGGTTCTAGAGCCTGAAGACAAGGCTGCTAGTTCTACGAAGTTCACAAATCGTCAGCGTCGGATTTGGTCACGGTGATTATATTCGTAAGAGTATAAGCACGTTGAATCGACACCATACTATATGGACACAAGTATTCAAAGCAGATGTATGTTTTAATCGTAAATGTGGTTTGGCCGTCAGAATGCCGAACTCTAAATCCAACTTGTAAGTATCCAATCATAAAATAACTCGGCGTTCAACACACCGAGTCTGGTGATTCGTAACACCTTACTTCGCCGAGAAGGTTCGTGAGATGACCTCTACCAATAAGGATTCGAAAACCCTTCTCGATCGAGACTTGGATAGATAACCAGTCGGCCTTGACGCAGTGCTGTTTATCCAAACTAAAGGTGCTTCGTGGTCGGCTTATTCTACGGTGACAATGCTATTTATCCAAACTGAAGATGTTCGCCGATTACCTTCACAGTGCTGTTTATCCAAATTGAAGATGTGTCGGCGAAAAAGAAAATAAAAAATTGTTGAGAGGTTTCACGTAGAGCGAGAGTTTGCGCAAGGTAGTTTGTGTGTTGAATTGGATGGGGCATTTTAATGTTTCCTGCCGCTTAGTATTTATAGAGACATGCATACCTAAGTCGTGGAAAACAATCCCAATTGCAATGTGACTCCAAATCTTTAATTGTTGCTGCTGACCACGCACCTATCCCATGCATAATCACAATAAATGAAACTCTGAAGACTTTATCTTTTATGCATCTAAGTCCACGCCTTAGGCCTTATCACATCAATCAAAGCTTCATCCCATCTCCCAAAATGGGATTATGTCATCACCATCTTTATCATGACCTTCCTTTTCAAAGATCCAATCTAATTACGTCATCACCATCGTTCAAAATGGCCGAGATGATTTGTAGCAACCCGATGCAATCTGTGTGACTAGATTATGCCAAGGATATTCGATGGTGCTACTTATCCCACCATCTCTTCATAAGCTTTATCCATGCATACATGGTAATTAAAATATCATGGTTGATAGTTTTGCATTATCTGCAAAACCAACTGATCCCATCACATCATTTGATTACTCCAAATGGCATATCCACATATTGATCATCCAATATTAATTGCATCCTTGTGGTATTGTTCCTTGTGGTTCGCATGAAAGATATGACTCTAATGTTGTACGGCATTTCACATAACCTCTTCTGCACGAAGCTTTATGCATATCACAATTTTGTACACTTTAAGGATATTTTCAAGATAATTACTATGATAAAAATTAAAAAAAAAACAATAGTAATGTCAAGAAAAATCTCTAATCATCTGACGGCCTCGATTATTTGGGCCGATGATGTAAATTTGAGACCAAACATAATTAGAATCAACTTGTCATTTAGTATAACGATCTAGTGGTATTTACTCACTTGTAAGCGAAAGGTCTTAAGTAGATTATCCTAATTTAATTTTTAACATTATAACTTAAAATATTTAAATTTCGATAAATATTAAAAAATTACTAAATCGGTACCATGAAACTCGTAGAACACTGCAAAAGAATATGAAACACATAAGGTAAAAAAAAATTACTTTAGCCGTTAAATTTAAATTTAGACATTTAGATATATATTTTTTTTACTGTGGAATTTGATCAAATTAGATCTTACCCGTTGGATTCAATGAAGTTAACTCATAAATGATTTTGGGTTTTAACTCATATTTTCCCTAAGGATTAAAGCAAGTTAGGGTAAGTTTAGAACCTAAAATTTAAGTTTTGCTTCAAGGGTTAGAATAGGTCTTAGTGTAGATACTACTGTTTGTTAAAAAAAAAAAATAGAATCGATTTTACTAAAAATAATGCTAATTTCTTATTTGTGACACTATAATATAAATCAAATAATATGGTTATTGATGATTAAATTATTAGTTAAACATTCATTAACGTACTTATTTTTTATTAATGATCTATCATTAGTTTAAAATTTTGGTTTCCTAGCATTACAGTTTTCTAAAAATCAACTTCTAGCCTTGTCTACTTCGCAGCTTCCTCCCCCCTCTCTCTTCTTCCCCCACGTCCTAACCACCCAATTCCACCGCTGGCAACTCCTCCACGACTCACTTCCAGTCACTGGCAGCAACTAAAACCCCAGCCGCCCACCCACCTCAACTCGCAACCCATCAGCTACCACCACCTTTCAATCTCCTTCTCCACTGATACCCAAACCCACATCCACATCCCTTTCCCAATCTCTGTTTATATGCCTCTCAAATGCTACCCAGCAACCAAAACCCATGAAACGCCCCGATCTCTGTGTTGTGATATAGAAGGAATGTTATGAGCGACCTAAAATCAATTTCAGACCCAAAATCTACTTGTGGTAATGAACTTTGATGTTCTTTAAATTTGTATTTTCTGAAACCCAGAATTTGCTCGTGGGTTTTAAATGAATCCCTACCCTAAGACCAACTCCAAACCTGGGCTAAAAGCCAAATTTTTAGCCCAAAATTCCCCCCAAACACCCCCCAACCCAAGCTAAAATATTGGGCTAAAAGGGGAATGCTAAAGTTGGGCAAAATTCCCCCCCAAACGCGTGGACTCGCCCAGTTTTGGGCCACTTTCGGCTCGCCGACTCGCGCACGCGCCCCACGCCCGCAAGTTGCAACCGGAGCCCGACAAGAACGAGGCCCTGCGTCAGGCCTTGTCGGCCACTCACCGAGCCCAACAGCTCTTTTCAAAATCAGACGGGCAGCATTTAAGGACCGTTGGTTGATCCAACAGTCCAGATTCAAATTTTATTTTTAAAAAATATGTTATTTTAAAATACATTGAATCCAACGGTTGAGATTGAATATACTCAAATCTAACTGTAAAAAAAAGATCTAACGGCTAAAATAATTAAATAAATTTATTTAACACAAAATTTACCCAAAAACTCTATAAATACCTATATATTTGTTCAAACATCCACACAAAATTCAATTTTCTCCTACAATTCTTCCAATTTATCTTTCTATCATTTCTTTCCATTTCCAAATTGTTCAACATGACAAGAGAGCATGTTAGAGGTCATAATTGGACCTTTGAGGAAGATGTTTCTTTATGCTTGGCATGGGTTTCTGTTAGTGAAGATGGTGCAGTTGGCACAAATCAAAATAAAAAGGTTTTGTGGGATAAAATCATTGCAAAGTTTCAAGAAAACTGCAACGGCAGTGAGCGAGACGGTGGTGGTGTTTATGATCGGTGGAAGACTATCAATAAAGCATGCACTTTATGAAAGGGAAGCTTAGAGAGAGCCATGGTTGGCATGCCTAGTGGAATGAGTGCCATAGAAATTGTGAGTTTTTTTCTTGATATTTTATTTGTCATGTACATAATATTATTTTGCAACTAATTATTTTTATGTATTTTTTGCATAGGGTGACAAAGCAATGGAAATTTACAAGACAAGAGTAACACCAAAAAATCAAGTTTTTAAGTTGCAACATGCTTGGGACGTCCTCAAGGATTGTCCAAGGTGGGCAACCGATGCAGACCAACAATGGGGAAGATTATTTCCACATCCTTCTTGTAAGACTCTTGCCTCTGCGAAAATAATTTCTTCTTTGCACTATCGGGATGAGAAAAACTTTTGACAAAGGTAGACCAACTAGGATAAATACCATCAGTTAGGTAGTAACCTAGCTCATACCTATTACCATTTAAGTTGTATCGAAATTCTGGTGCCCATCCATTCACAACCTCATCGAACAGAGGAGAAGACCAAAGAACGTTGATATCGTTGTTTGATCCGGGAGAGCCGAAGAATGCATGCCAAATCCATGTGTCGTAAGATGCCAAAGCCTCAAGCACGATGGTTGGCTTGTTATGACGGCCCTTGAATTGGCCAGCCCAACCAGTAGGACAATTATTCCACTCCCAATGCATACAATCAAGACTTCCTATCATGCCAGGGAAGCCTCTTTTGTCTGCCTTGCGTAGAAGCCTTTTCAAGTCTTCATGAGTTGGCTTGCGGAGGTATATGGCTCCATAGATGGCTTGAATTGCTTGACATAAGCGCTTCAGGTTCTCAATAGCAGTACTCTCCGCAAGTCGGCAATATTCGTCAGTTGAGTCAGCAGAGCACCCATTAGCTAGCATTCGAAATGCAAATGTGAGCTTTTGATGAGGTGATAGACTTTGTCGGCCTACGGCATCTATCTTCCTTGCAAAGTAGTGGTCATGATTGACAATTGCGTTCAAGATGCCTTCAAAAAGCTCTCTCCTCATCCGAAACTGCCTCCGAAAATCATGAGCAGGAAATCTCGGCCGCTCAATGAAATAATCTTTCATCATTTGGTCATGACACTCTTCTCTATCACGCTGCACGAATGAACGCCCCGTGACAGAACCACGATGGCTAGATTCGCCATGGTGCTCATTGCATAAACGAGTTTACAAGTTTAGCTTCGGCGTTGATTAGTTCTAAATCCTCAATGTCAAGCCTTGCTTGGTATTGTGCCATCTCCATTGCCCTGCTACGCCTTCTTCTATCACCCATTGATGAGATATTGAGAATTTTTAGGAAACAAAAACTCTTTGAAAGTTGAAAGATTGGTGAATATAAAGGATGATTGAAGGTTGAAAGATTGTGTGATCAACTAATATTGGACCTGTGTTTATATAGAGGATGATTGATGAACGGTTGGTGAAAGTTGAAAGGTTGGTGAAAGTAGCTTGCTTTGTGAAAAATTTCATGATTTTTCAATATTTATTGGAATTTAAATTTTTTTAGATTAAAATGTTCATAAAATTAATTTACAATAATCTACATTTTTTTTTTTTTTTAAATATTGATTTAAGAAAAAAATTAGCCTAAGTTCATTCTTTAATAATTCCGGGCTAAAATTTTAGGCCAGAAGGGTTGGAGCAGAAAAGATGTTTCTGGGCTAAAAACCAAATTTTCCGGGCTAAAAAATTTTGCTTTTAGCCCAAGGGTTGGAGATAGTCTAACCAGCAACCCCCATTTTATTGCTTATCGATGTGGGTGTCTAGAAATTTCTCCATTGAGGTGGTGACGGTAGCTGATAGTAGCAGGGCATACATTGATACAAATCTAATATCTATACGGCCTATCAATAAACGTGGATGATATTTCTATTACAAAGACAGTACAAATATTAATTTTAAAAAATATGATGAAAAATATGATAAATGTAACACTTAAAAATATATGATTATTAAACAATCCTAGCATACGTTTGTGTTTCAGAAATTATATAATTTGTTTTTTAAATAGTGAAATTGTTCTTGTTTCCATGCTCGTATTTTAGACAAAACATGAGGTGTTAGGTAGCTAGATTGTTTTCCTCAAACCAAATATTTGATCTACGATCCTGCAAATTTGTGTATGAAAAAAGAAATGTAACATATTAAATCAGAAGTCATCATCAATTTGATATATAACATTCAGCGGACCGAATTATGCAGCACCTCGATAGGCTTAAACCCAAGAAAAACATGGGTAGATTTATATAATTGTTTTATATCATATGATTTCTTTATCAACATTCTTGCCTTGTATGATTTTTTATTGCAGGATCATAGATCAACGCAAGCTTCGGCCTAGATGCTTAATGTTAGTCAATTTGTTTGGGTCTAAAATAAAGGTTTGGGCTGAGGATGAGTAACCCAAGTTGGAAAGCCATAATTCGCAGGCCAGTGCGCTTTTTTCATCCTCCTAAAAAGCACTAATCCGATCCAGTCCCTATAGCAGTAGGATTGTGAAGGGATCAAGCTCAAGCGTGGCTCGGTAGAGTCTTAGGTGAGTTAGAATTGTCAATGATCATGATGAGTTTTGATGAGATGCGAATTATTCTACGAATCAGAATTCTTGCTTGATCAAATGAGGACGAATCAAGCGCATAAAGAGATTGGGTTTCCGCTAAAGAAGGGATAATGAGAGAATATCCAGGTCAGTCATATCATAACTCTATCTTGGCAAATCCATTTATCATGAGTCCCACCCCTATAAATAGAAGAGGTTTTTCAACACGAAAGGCCTGTTCAACTTAGCAAACAACTCAAAATGCTCTACGCGAAAATTTTCGTTCTACGGAAAAACCTTTTCACGCCTATGAGAAAATCAAGTAAACAACATCATTTCTAGTCAATTGGTTATCTATTCAAGTCTCGGCCAGCGAAGAGTTCTTAATTCTTTCGCCTAAAGAGGTCACTTCATCAAGTGTTCTATGATCGATTACTCTAATATGCACTTCATAGTTCAACATTCAAACGATCGAACCACATTCATCATAAAGACACTCATCTCCTTTGAGTACCTTTGCCACTATAGCCTGAAACCAATTAGACACACCTATATTCTCACGAATATAATCAAAGCAACCGAATCAGGTGCACAAGATCCTAAACTTCACAATGAATTAAGCAACATTTTCTTTAGGTTCTAGAACCCAAGGCCGAGACCTGTTTTTTCCTCAATAGTAGTCACTCAAGTGTAGAAGTCAACAACGTATTCAACACCCCCACCATATCTATTCTACTCATCCAAACGAGCTTGGTCGCGAGTTGGCACGCCCACATTTACAAGAATGATGTAATTAGCTCAATAGTTACTCGGTTGCATGCCACACAAGTTCCTATAATTTTTTAGGTCAACACGATTACATTAATTACAGGTACACAATCTTCTGCAAGTGTTGAAAGCGGGGCTAGCTAATGTCTCATTATTTGGTAATATCTTAACATGCATGCTAGAAGATAGGGGCTCCCATGGTTACCACTGACCAGACCAGCAACAAACATACCGAGCCACTCGAAAGACATATGTCCGGCCACAACGGATTCCGTATGACACCTCGAACCATATCAGCCATGTAGATTTTGTTTTTGATTGACACTTTGCTACCCTAACCGTTATCGAATCGGACCCAGTTTTCGCATCGCTATGCGGTGTTTTGTTGCAACATGCAATGTTGAGAAATTTGGATTAACATAGCACGATGGTTTTGGAGTATTATGCATGGTGGAGTTTACAATTGGTTATCATGTCTCCTCATATTCAGCCACAGTTAGACAGAAAGCGAGAGCAATTGATGAACATTCCTATAGGAAACACTCTTCCACTTGCAAAATGTGTAAGACAAGCTCCCAAGTTGTTAGTGTAGTGATATTTCTTCGTTTTTTTTACATAGGACTAGCCTGATTATAGATCAAATGTTCGATCTTAATATGTTATCGCTAATGTGTGAATATCATTATGGTTGGGCTATACATTGTGGGAAAAGACAAATTGAACTTAAGTTGTACATAAATCGCATAGGTACATACTCTTCCAAAGAAAAATACACACTTTTGCCTCTTAGAAATAATCCACATTCTCAAAAGTTTAGAGGAGAGGACAAAAAATAAGTGTAAAGGAACAAAATACTTTTGTTCAAAAAGAAAGCAACAAATATAAAGTTGCCCAATATGTGAAAATTAAACCAAACGTAAATGACTAGAACGCATTTTGTAAGAGCTTGTAACTCAAATAGTAGAATTACTCAATTTATAATTCTTAGGCAAAAATAATGTTAGTATGCAAGCATGACACCATTTCAACGATATTTAGAACCATTTGAATTAGAACTTTATGAAATTTTGTGCTTCTAATAGTTTGAGTAGTATCACATGCGTAATTGTACTTTACCTTTGTATAACATGTCTCAAATGAATGAATAAATGACTGAATGTGAGATCAAAAGTTTTACAGATAAAGATATGCATATCTCTGTTTTTTTTTTTTGTCAATATAGTGGCAGAATTAGAATTTTGTAATAATGGGTCATAATATAAGCTCCTAAAAATTGATTATACTTTCATTTGTATTGTTACTGATGTGTTCTTATATTTTAGAAACGTCATATTACACCAAAAGACAAATGTAGAGAAACTAAGAGTTTAGACAACAAAGAAGAATACATGAAATCATTTGTCAAAGCTGGAGAGTTATTTTAAAATACCCCTTAAATAAAAATGTAGCATGTTGTACGTTCTTTCTTAGTTCTTACAAGGTTCAAAAGGAGACTAAGTTCACACTAAGATAAATCATAAAATTTAGCTCAAGTATTGTGTTTAATTGAGATTTAATTCAAGTTCGAGAAGAAGAGATAAGAGTAAGGAGTTGTTGTGCTAAGAACTATTGAGATTAAATAAGCTTGGAGTGGCATAGGGTGACCAAACAATGCTAAGAATATCTCCAAATGAGATGTCAAATTTTAAACATAAAATTTAAATTTGAAGGCTTATGTAGCACATTGATCTTTTATTAAATTTTGTTCTCCAACTGAGATGTCAAATTTAAATTATTATCTATTACATGATTTACTTTTTATAGTTGTAATTATTATCCTTAAAACAAAAGATAAGAATAGAATTATGAAAAACATTTATTAATTACTAAAAATAGATTTGAAACTACTATAAAATTTGACAACAATTTCCTCAGCTGCCATTCCATGTCATGCCACATAGGAATTGTCATTTTGATTGGAAAACACTAGTGATATCTTCTTTTTTTAACTGTAATTACTAATATAAACTTTTTAGCATTTCATTTGAAAATGCTCTAAAGATCACTTACAAAATATTAATTGTTATTGCACTTATTATAATGGGCACTCAATGCCACCTGTGTAGCTCCGTCACTGACTTATGACGTTTACATCTTAGTGGAAACATTTACAAACATTTACCTAATTGAAACATATACAAACATTTACCTAATTTCTTAGTGGAAAAACCAATGTAACATTACTTTAAAAATAGTGAAAGAAAAGAAAGAAAAGGACATTAAGGGGTGACACCCAACAAAATGCTTCCCCACACCATCTTCTGCCCACAAGACAGCCGAGGACGAGTCTTTCCCTGTTCCTCTACCGCCGAACACAACCCCCTCCCATTACTTCTCTCTATCTTACGCCTCCCCTCGTAACCTACGCCCCACCCCTAATCCTGCGCATCTTCTTCCCCCATACCTTCCCCTCCCAATTTCCATTAAATCCTAGGCTTCTTCTCCCAGCCTCTTCCCCCAAATTCGGAGTCCTTAAGGGTCTTTGGGTTTTGGGGTTAGGGTTTTTGAGAGATGTGGGATGCTTCAGGCATTGATGAATCTGCTCTCTCTTTGCTGGAGGCCATTTGGGCGCGGCGACGGTGAGGGACTCAGCTCTGTTGGAATCGTCGGCGCTGCGAATAACGGAGGCGGCGGAGGAGGGCGAGATGGCAAAGATAACTTGCTTTGGTTCCGAGATTTTGGAAAGTACGCGTGGGGCGATTTCTCTATGGCGGTGGTCCAGGCCAATCAGGTGCTCGAGGATCAGAGCCAGATCGAGTCTGGACCCTTTGGGACCTTCGTCGGCGTATACGACGGACACGGCGGCCCGGAGACCGCTCGATACGTTTGCGACAATTTATTCAAACATTTCCAAGGTTCGTGATCCCCAACCCTCTTAAAATATATATATGCTTTTTGGATTTGGATGGCGTGGTTTCGAATTCGCCACGTTTCGGTGTAGAATGTGTGATTGTTAATAAGTGGATTGGAATTGTTAATCGTGATGTTTGTTAAAGCTGTGAGCTTTTTGTTAAAGTTGTGATTTTGATTGGTCTTTGAGTTTGGATCACGGATTATCTCTGCATACAATACCTCAGAAAATTGAATATATCTCTGTGCATATAATTTGCTAATCGTGCTTCGAGTTAAAAATAGTGTGATTTTGATTGGTTCTTCGTTGTAATGCACAATTTTCGTTTCCTATCGTTTTTATTTTACTATAGTTGGGTGGTTTTGGGGTCGGTTTTCTGTTTAACTATTGAAGAATGAGCAGCTCTTATGTTGGCTATCTTAGGCATTGTGTTTATGCAGCAATATCAGTGGAGTCCGAAGGTGTTGTGACAGCGGAGACCATTCAAAATGCTTTTCTCCGAACAGAGGAAGGGTTTACCGCCCTTGTTTCAGAGCTGTGGGGTACTAGACCCCAAGTAGCAACTGTTGGGTCATGCTGTCTGGTTGGAGTTATATGTCAGGGGACCCTATTTGTGGCAAACCTGGGAGATTCCCGTTGTGTGTTGGGAAAGAAAGTGGGCAACACTGGGGAAGTTGCTGCGATCCAGTTATCCACTGAACACAATGCAAATCTCGAGGAGGTTAGGCATGAGCTGAAAGATTTGCACCCACACGATCCTCAAATTGTCGTTTTAAAGCATGGAGTTTGGAGAGTAAAAGGCATTATCCAGGTATTTTTTAATTACATCATCTAAAAGCCCATTAATTAAGGTGTGCATTAATCTGTAACTACCTACAGTTATGTCATTGGTGTTTCTGTTCTCCTACCTGTTACTTATGAAGCCAATATTTGTTGAAAGGGTGCTAGAACCCTAGTCCTACCCTATCGGTATTGTGCATGTAGTGTAAAGTCTGAGCATTTCTATCCTATGTCTGTCATGCATATGCAGTGCTGTATTGCATCTTATGCTCGTACCGTTTAGGGTCCATCTATAAGAATTACTGAAAACTTATAATTGTGAAGGTTTAGAAAGCCCTTTGATAAGCGTTTTGAACCAAGATAGAAGTCTAATATATCCACTAGCTTCTAGCTCTGTTTACAAGGGTTAACTTGAGATACCCTTGCTGATTCGGAATAGCTTCAATAGTTTGATTTTATGGTTTTACCTGATTAAACCAAGTTGTGAGGAAAATGGACTGTTTTGCAAGGTCTAATTGAAATCATGGTTGCTGTGGTTATTTTTGAAGTGTTAACTTTTTCCCTGACTTGCATGTATTATTTGGTTGTTTGTCTGATAGAGATGATGAACTTAAACGCTGTTAATTTGTTTAAAGAAGACCCAAGTTAAAATTTTCCATGGTACCAAGTTTTTTTTTAGAAAGGAAGTTAAATGTATAAATACTTCACATTTTCTTAGGTCTGCATAAGCCTTTTATCTTTTGCTAGAAATTTTCTTGAATGAGATTTTTGGGATATAATATGAAATGTTTCCTTATAAATTTTCATACTTTTTTCATTCTTAAATAGTTGATGTCTTGCGATAACACCTTGAATTTATTTGATGTAGGTATCTAAATCTATAGGCGACGCATATATGAAACATGCAAGGTTTAACAGGGAGCCGATTAGTGCAAAATTCAGACTTCCCGAACCAATGACCATGCCTATCTTGTCTGCCGAACCAACCATTCTTTCTCATCCTCTCCATCCAAATGATTCTTTTCTTATATTTGCTTCTGATGGTCTATGGGAACACTTGAGTAATGAACAAGCTGTTGAAATTGTCCACAATCATCCACATTCAGTAAGATTCTGATATTTTCAGTTTTTATTCATGTTTAGCAACTCTTATTTGCATTCACATTCGTGCCATAATTACTTAACTGCCTTGGTGTGGATCAAATGACCTTAAAGAACGATCGCAAATGAAGAAATATATTTGACTGGATATCCGGACGAAACATTTAGGTTTCAGTATTCTTGATAATATTTATCTTTATTCATCACTGCCACATTTTTGTCTGATAACAAGAGATTGTTGGTGATTGTGCTGACTTGAGTTTTGAATACCTATTGAGGGAAGAGTAATGCTAGGTAGGCCAACATTTTAGACCGAATTTACAAACCATGTGATGCCAATCGGATAAAAACACATTAATCAACACTTAAGTAATAATCTAATCATTAACAACCACGTCATATGGTGTACAAAATTTGCTCTGAGTTGGTCTCCCTAACATTGCCCATCAAGGGAAATATAGATCTAAGGATAAATACTCTGCCTTTTAATTTGCAACATAGGGAAGAAAAATGAAGCATTGGCTTAGAGCCAATGGTTTAAACATGTTCTGGTATCTGATGCTTATTTTGTCTCTTTTTAGTGAGATTCTATTCTTGATCTCTGGTGCTGATTAGTACCCGTGTTGCAGGGAAGCGCCAAGCGGCTTGTTAAGACGGCTCTCCAAGAAGCTGCAAGAAAAAGAGAGATGCGATATTCAGATCTTCGGAAAATTGACAAGAAGGTCCGACGCCATTTTCACGATGATATAACTGTCATTGTTTTATTCTTAAACCATGACCTAATATCCAGAGGGAGAGTGGAAGAGCCCCCAGTCTCAATAAAAAGTGCCCGTGACCAAGGATAAGTTCACGACATCAAACATATCGGTTGCCTGCCCCTGATTTTGATACACGCGTGAACGATCATACTAGGCGATAACAAACCACCGGATCCGGAGATAATGCTTGATTTTGAAGAGGCTTTGAGAGTTTTAATGTTAGAAGAGATTACTGTATTTACGGAGTCGTGTAATTCTCCGTTATGTCATATTTAAAAGCATGTTGTACTTTGTTGCCTCCCAGTCCCAGATACAGAATGCGAGAGCTGCCATGTTTATTTATATATATTTTTTCTTCAAAACTCCCAACTACAGCTGCACCCCCCTGGGTTTATTTATCGAATTAGCTTCCCAGGGAATTCTGGTGACAGCATGACTGCTTGTAAACAAAACCAGTTTCATAACCTACGATTTCATGTACTCGACAAATTTCACTAGAGAGAAGAATTGTGTGGCAGATTATTTGGTAAACTGGAGTTTTAATATGGATATCAGCGTCTTGTTTGGATTGGATCATCGCTCATGGATGATACTGCTGGAGTCTTTCAAACTCGCTTTGTTTCCTCTGATGTTGCGAGTTAGTTTTTGGTTGTATTCTCTGTTTCTTTACCCAAAAAAATAAAATTCACCAGCTTCTTCGTTCCCTGGTTTAGGGCAAAATCTGGTGTATACGATGGTATATTCTTCTTTTTCTATCTAATGACCTAGTTACCTATGAGGGAGAGAGGGAAATATACAACGTGTTGCACCGTAGGATCATTCATATTTACAGGTTAGGATGAATGACTCGTTATAAAAAGAGTAGTGTATAATATTGTATCTATTCAAAAAATAGAAAGGATGGGTGAACAAACTAGCACTCTATAAGAAAAGAGATAACAATGTTTTTACTAACGAGAACAATTTACATAATGCAGACGGCATATCTTGCCAAAAATACAATGTTAGGTGAGAAAAGAACTTACATATATAATATGTCGTTGTATTATTAGAACGGGACGTATATAACGGTGGCGTGGAAGTCCTCCTGCTATCAATGGGCTTGGAAGAATTGGAATAAGTTATAATTTGGTGGGCTTGACATGTGTCGAGGGATTGGCAGTAGCATGAACTGAACTTGTGTTAGCTCCTCTGACCCAATCACGGTTCGAGGGTCCGCTACCGCAATTACGCTCAAATACAGGGACAGTTTTGAAAAATTAACGTAATTCAGCATTTTCTTCTCTTTGCTTCTCTCAGTGTGAGAGTCTCGCTCCGAGTCTCAGAGAGCTGACCCGGCCATGCCCAAGTCCAAGTTCAACCAGTAGTAATTCTCACACTCTTCGCCCCCAATTCTCATTTCCTTCTTGTTTACCTGATTCTCCGAACCGAGCTGCAGCCATGGCTGCCAAATCAAATCGAACACCAATATTACATGCCTTTGTTTTTGCACTGAGCCTGCTCGTATTTCAATCCGAGTCCGCGCCTCAGGCTTTCCGGCGAGATCCCGGTCACCCCCAGTGGCACCACGGCGCCTTCCACGACGTTCGAGATAGCGTTCGATCCGATGTCCGCCGCATGCTCCACTCTCGCGCCGAGGTAATTTCACTTTCCTCCTTGTCTATTTCTTCGTTAAAAGTAATTGAAATTCCGTTTGGTTGCCGAGAAACCTGAGCCAGAAACGAAAATAAATCACAAAATTCCGAAATTAGGTTTTAATTTTTGAGAAATTGTTCTTTTACATGTGGTTTAAACTTTAGTGTGATCGTGACTGGGAGTGATTGTGTGTGTGTGTGCGTGTAGGTGCCGTTTCAGGTTCCTCTCGAAGTGAATGTGGTTCTTATTGGCTTCAATGGCGATGGAGGCTATAGGTACTCCGTCGATTCGCACAAATTGGAAGATTTTCTGAAAATCAGCTTCCCATCGCACAGGCCTTCCTGCCTTGAGACAGGAGAGCCTCTCGATATCGAGCATCAAATTGTTTATAATGCCTTTCCGGTATGCTTCATATCCAACCGTAGCATTATCTTTTTTATATTCTTACATTGTTTGAATTGTGTGCATTCAATATACATAATATGTACATGTGTGTGTTCGATGATGTTTGAATTGATTATGTATGGCTACATTTTTGTCCGGTGATTGGGTTTTGTATTTGTTCTAATTACAGGCTGGGCAGCCAGAACTAATAGCTCTTGAGAAGGCACTGAAAGAAGCTATGGTTGCTGCAGGAAATGCAAGAGAGGTGACTCCCATTGTTTGTATGCTGTACATTGTCTTTTGAGAAAGTTGCAAGTATCATTTTGTCATTGAATTAAGGTTTAAATCGTTCTTCAATATTTTAGACTGATTTTGGAAGGCAAGTACCTCTGTATGAAGTGGACGCAACTGTAGTGGAGCCGATGTTTGAGAAGTTATATTCCTACATATTTGACATAGAGAATGCTGCTAATTCTGCTGCGAATATGGATCGGCAAATCCCGAGTGCAATATTTATCGTCAATTTCGATAAGGTATGGTCTGAAATCAGCACAGTTCTTAGTCTCTGTTTGTATTCAACATTAGTCATTTAATTGCATGGTACTTTACCTTTACCATATGATTTTGCATACATGAAGGGAATGTGCTTGCTAATATTTCTCAAACCAGTCGTTAATTGTCTCTCTCAACTGTACTTGTTATATTTGGGTGTTTATATTTGTTTTACAGGTAAGGATGGATCCTAGGAATAAGGACATTGATCTTGACAGCTTAATGTATGGAAAACTTAGCCAGCTAACTGAGGAAGATATGAAAAACCAAGAGGGAGACTACATTTATCGCTATCGATACAATGGAGGAGGTGCCTCTCAAGTTTGGCTTGGCTCTGGCAGGTACAGTTAACATAGTATTATTTGTAGATTAAACCTCCTTTTAGTTTTCCAAGAGCAAATGCTAGAATAAGTTACACACTACTTTAGGGGTGTAAGATATCCATGTAGTTATTACGAACATATCCAGTGTGCTCTGTGTTAGGCCACAAGGAGGGGGAAGCCTAGCCTGAAAGTACATGGAGTAACGTGGATTAGTGAACGTGTGAACATGTAGCAAGTATACTTCAAATCCATGGACTGGTGTACTTGAACGTGTGAGGTTATGGTTAGTATGTTACAAAGGTTATCTCGAAGTCTTTAGGCTTGTTTTGAGTTATGGTTAGTGTGTTACCTTGTCGTCTGTTATCTGTTTCGGTTGCGGAGTTATTTGTAGGAGGTAGTAGTTTATATGTAGGAGAGTTGTTATTTGGTGTTATAGAATATGAATAAAAATGGCATTATGCTTTGCAGTTTAATGGTGGTTAGAAACGTTCCTTTAATCCACGTTTTTGCTAGGTACTCTAGCTTTTGACAGTATCAAATTGAATGATCAATTTTGTGCTTTTTTGGGACTATGTATTGTTACCAATTTATGCTCTCTATATCTGACTATGGTATTTTTTTTCCATTGAGAAAAAAAAAAGGGACTAATTTCCTGCATATGCTGTCAGATTTGTTGTGATCGATCTCTCAGCAGGCCCATGCACATATGGAAAGATTGAAACTGAAGAGGGAACCGTCAGTTCTAGGTCGCTGCCACGACTTCGCAATGTGATGGTTCCAAGAGGTTTGGGTGCAGCTAGTGATCATCCTACACATGATGTATTTGTTGGACAACTTGCGTCTTTAGTGTCCACCACAGTTGAGCATGTTATAGCTCCAGATGTTAGGTAATAAGTGTATTTTTTTGACATGTTGATTTGAAACTGGGACTATTTTACTCTTTCCTTGATTTTTTTGGTCTTTTTGTACGTCACAAAGTAGAACGTACTAAATCAGGACTATGGTTTTTCTTTGACAACAAGCTTGCTATTTTTTTTATAATACTTCATACATTTTTTATTAGTGGTCTTTAACTATTATTTATGCTCTTAACTCAGATTTGAAACTGTTGACTTGACAACAAGGCTGCTTTTACCAATAATTGTCCTGCAAAATCACAATCGGTACAATATAATAGACAAAGGCCACAACTACAGCATAAATATTGAAGCAATTGAGGCAGAGGTAAGTTTTTTTTTTTTTTTTCTTTTTTTTTTTCTGGAATAACTCTAACACCTTTAGATTGCCTATGATGACTATGTGAAGAAAGAATGAGGCACTTTTAGGATTGTTCCGTTACAGCAACCCTCTCCTTCTCCTATAGTAATTGCATTGTTGTGCTTTGAGATACATAAACCCAAAATCACTTCCATGTTTGTTTGATCGTTTAATTTGTCCCTCTTCAGGTGAAGAAAATGGTTCATGTTGGCCAAGAAGTTGTGATCATTGGGGGTTCACATTCATTGCATCGCCATGAGAAGTTGTCTATTGCTGTTTCAAAAGCTATGCGAAGCCATTCGCTGCAAGAAACTAAGAATGATGGACGCTTCCATGTTCATACCAAGACTTATCTGGATGGTGCTATTCTTAAAGAAGTGGGTACTTCTTCATTTATCTACTGTTCGTCCTGGTATTTTTAGTGTCAAATGATGGGTTTCTGTTTTCTATACCTTTTCCCAGATTTTTGGTGAAAGACTCTCTGTCTAAATATTCACGGGATGTGTTTCTTTACCCAGTTCTTTTTCTTTAGGGCCATACATAATAGATGTCATCATTTTTTAGTTAAAAAGTCATGCTTCTTTCCTCATCTTAACATCAGATGGAACTTAAGTTCTACATTCTAATTTTTTTTTTCCACTTGGAAATACTCATTCCAGGAGATGGAACGTTCTGCCGATGTGCTTGCTGCTGGTTTACTTGAAGTGGCTGACCCATCTCTTTCAAGTAAATTTTTCCTCCGCCAGGTTTGTCTAAATCTACTACAGTTGTACATGTTTAGTGTCTCTTTTTTGTTTTCTGAGACATTTTTCTTCTGTTATGGAAGCTCTAAAGTATATTTGAGTTCTCTTTCCTTCCTGTCTTCAATGTCCTAATCTGTACTTTTCGTCCGCCAGCATTGGGCAGATCGAACTGAAAATTCAAGTGATTCTATACTAAAGCATAAACCTCTTTGGACTACTTATGACTCAAAACGTGGCAAGAAAAAGAAGAAAGTAGAAAGGAAACAAGGAGATATCTACCGGACTTATGGAACAAGAGTGATTCCTGTGTGAGCATGCCATCTTGAGTTGCCCGCAGTATTTAATTTTAGTATTATTCTCATAATAGTGCATCTTCATTCTTATTTCATACATTTACATCTAAGATACTTTTCTTGAGTTCGTCTTGCTTAACTACATCTGCCTTCTTAAGTGTATAGTGTGCTACCCAGAATTTTAGCATAAAAATATGATCATTGAAACTTGTAGTTAAGAATATTTACATCAGATAGCTGTTGCATATAACTTCTAGGGCTTGCTTTCGGTTTTTTTATGACATATATGGTCACCTAGCTGCGGTAGCTAGAAGTTTGTAAGTAATGCTTCGTGTCA